AGCTGGTTACCATAATAGGTCTGGTAGATAGTCAAGCACCAAATAAATTTTAGTGGAGGCTACCTTTCTAGAGCTACTTCTGTGGCTGCTACTTCTACTTCTAATCACGGTAATTAAAATCTCTGAGGCAGATAATATGGTTTACCTGGTTTCTAAACCAGGCTCCCAGCAACCACTCCCTGGCCTCCTTTTACTGCTAAAAGAACTCTGAATATTTTGTTCAGTCATCCACGTCTCAGGAAAAGTGATCTTAACCCCATTTTAGGGGCAAACCAATTAAAATAATTCTGTTCTTTTTACTAATGATAGTTTAAGGCTGGGCAGGTAGTCTTATTGCCAAAAAAACAAAACAAAAACCAAAAACCAAGGAAGAGAAGGAAGGGAAGAAAATAAGGAAGGAAGCAAAGGAAGGAAGGACAGAAAGGGAGAGAGGGAGGAGAGAGGGGTGAAGGAGGAGGGGGAGGGGACAGGGAGAGGGAGGGGGAGGGAAAATAAAAATATGAAATAAGTCTGGGAACAACTTTATGCCTAAGAAAGGGGCACTGGAACAGTTTCTTTTCTCATCCTCTGAATATTGACATGGCAGAACTATTTTGGTGTTCTACTGTTCAACTCATCTTTTTGTGATTCCACACTGTAGATAATATCTGTGGCTATTTGAGTCCCTTATATAAAATAGCATAGTATTTGCATGTAACCTATGTAGATTCTCCAATACATTTTAAATCTTATTTCTAAATTACTTATAAAGCCTAATACAAGGTAAATAGTTATTACATTGTATTGTTTAGGGAATACTGATGAGAACAAATGGAATATATTCAATACAGATGCAAGTTTTTAAAAATATTGTCATTACAAGGTTGGTGGGATCTGCTAGAATGAAACCCACAGAAATGGAGAAATATTTTTAAAGCAAATTAAGGTTGATGTGTTTTGATAATTCAATATGTAATATTACAATTTTCTTTATAATGATTACTTTCTATGTCATAGGTAGACTATCCTTATAGTATACAGTTGCCACTAGCTATACATGATATTCAAATTTAAATTAATGAAATTTTAAAATTCTATTTTTCAGTTACACTAACTATATTTCAAGTTCTCAAAAGCTAATTAAGCTAGTGGCTATGAGGCTGGACAATGCACATAAGGCATATTTCCATAATAAAGAAAGTTCTTTTGAAGAATACTGGCCTCGATTAGGTAGCCTGGAAAGTTAAAAATTTTATATATTAGATTATATTAAAGCAGGCCCCAATTTACACAACATGCCCAGACAACTTTTTTAACCTAAACAGCACAGAAAACAAATTTTAGTATTTTACTCAATTCCAAGTTTTGAATAATAAAGTCAAAATTTGTAAAGAAAACATCACTGATTATTTTAGAAGATAAAGATAAAAATGTTAACCCAATAGTAAGTTCTACAACTTGATTTTCTACTGTAGTTCATGTATAAAATGCAACATGTCTAAAATGTTTGGCCTTGTTTTTTCTTTTTCGGTTAACTATCATACATTATTTGTATTATATCATACCTATCGCATTAGGGCCTAAATATATGTCCACTCTTAAAATTATTATAGTAATGGAAATATGAATTGAGATGTGCATTTGAGTTCCTCTTACCTGTCAGAGGTAGTAGGTATTTACCTCTTCTATTGTATAAAACCTCTGCTCCTGAGATTCATGCCGTCCATCCAAATCACTGTCTGCCCTAATAAATGAGAGCCATTCTCCCTCATTTATTAAGGAGTCTAATACTTAATTCACAGTCTCACCCTATACTCCAAGTTCTAATACCATCCAAAGTAACTCCAGTATCCACTTGCAAGACTCCTAGATCTCACTAGCTTTGAAGGTCTTTGAATTCCCTCACCTCCACTCACAGGCACACATTTCTATTGCCATAATCTAGATTTGTCATCATTGAGAATGTTCTTATTGTCACATCTTGAATTCAAACAGATTTCATTCTCTGATCTTAATTTCTATCTTCCTCACCCTGATTTTCCTATTATACTGATTCTTTGAGTTTTACAGCATTTTGAAGTTAAGTTCTTAATTTTCTCCATGTTATCCCTCTTTAGACTCCACTGTTGCCTAGAATAGAGGCTATGGCTCTGCAGTTCATCCTCATCTGTATCCTGAAATACCTCTTGAGTTGTTTAATGTTCTGTTGTACTCTTGTTTTTTCTCCAATCCATTCTCATCTCAAACACAAATCTAAGACTTTCAGTGACTTCTTAATATCTCAAAATAAAGATCATACTTTTAAACAGATAGTCCTTACATTTAATTTTTCTTCTATGTAATATCTCATTGTTACTGTCTCTGTTTCTGCTCAGTTCCCATTCATCTTTCAGGTTCTAGCTTTCAATGGAAAAAAATCCATAAACCTCTAGTTAAGCCTCGGAGCCAATTCTACATGCTTATTATCTCACACTTACTCCATCCTATCATTTATCATACTATGTTATGATTTTCTTCATTTAAGTGATTTTTCAGGAAATTATAAGGTCCTTGAGGGCAGAAATGATCTTTCTCACTCTAGAATAGTCTAATATTTAACAGGCATTTAATAATTTTTTTAGTGAATGATTAATGTTGGTAATTTCAAAAAATGATTATTATCGAAGCTATATTTAATTGCTCTGAGACCCAAGTTTAATAGAATGAAACATGAGAAATTAGAGTATATTAGGAGGCAGAAGATAATAGAGCAGGGTAAGGAAAGTTAGGAGCTCCAGAGAAGGGTTGGAAGAAGTATTGCAGCTTTAAGTACAGTATTCAGGCTAGGCCTAATGGAAATTGAGTAAAAATGAAGTGAAGGATTTATCCACGTAGATATTTTGGGAGGTGAATATACACAAGGTAAGGAGGCAAGTGCAAATGCTTTGAGATGGGAATATGACCAGGATGACCATGGAAGGAGGCCCATGGAACTAGAGTGCAGTGAATGAGAAGGCAAATAAGAGATGAATTCAGAAAAGCAGTGAAAGCCAGACTCTGTAGGCTCTGTAGGCCTTTGTAAGGCCTTTGTACTTAACTAAAACAGGGTAGAACTGAACAGTAAAGTATAATCAGACTCATTTTGCCTCCTATTTTGAGAACTGGAGGGGGCAACAGTAGTCATGGAAAAATCTTCATAAGAGGCTATTAAAATAATTCAGTGAGAAATAGTGGTAATTCAGCAGAGATACTGGGAAATGATCAGATCTATATATATATATTTTTGTTTGTTTGTTTGTCTTGTTTTGTTTTGTTTTTGTTTTTGAGACAGGGTCTCACTATGTAATTGAAACTGACCTGGAACTCACTATGTAGCCCAGGCTGGTCTCGAATTCACAGCCATCCTCCTGCCTCAGCCTCCCAAGTGCTGCGATTACAGGCATGCGCCACCACACCTGGCTCTATGATATATTTTGTAGGCAAAATCAACAAGATTTCCTGGGGGATTGGATAAAGAGAAAGAAGTCAAGGAAGACTACTATATTTGGCTTAAACTAAATGGTGTTGACATCTGAGATAGAGAACACTACTGGAGGAACAGATTTGTAGATAATATTTGAACACATCAAACACTAGATGTCTATTAAAAGTCAAATCAAGTAGTAAGATATGGCCCTCAACTCCATGGAAGAAATCTGGGCTCATGCTTTGGGGGTCAAATGGCATACAAATGACATCAAAAGCACTGAAAGAGAATATTATCAAGGAAATGAGTATTTCTGGATCAGAGAAAAAAGTCAAGGACTTTTTAGTTACATTAGGAGGTCAGAGTGAAGAGTAGAAATCATCAAGAGAGAATAATGAGTAAGTAGTAACCTAAAAGAGAAATCAAAAAGAGGGCCAGGGATTTAGCTCAGTGGGGCCACTGCCTGCCTTACAAGCTCAAGGTCCTGACTTCAATCTCCAGGACCACTCCCCCGCAAAAAGTTGTAGTGTCCTGAAAACGTAGTGAAGCTTCAAGTTAACTACTGGATTTGGCAGCATGGAAGGTATCTATGATGTGACAGGAGCATTTGAATAGAATAATGGAACCAAATATCTTGAAAGAGCAATTGTAGAAAAAAAAATGAGAAGGAACTGGACTAAGTAGAGATAAATCTTTTGATAAATTTACTTCAAAAGGGAGCAAAGAAATGGGAAAATAATTGGCATATTTTGGATTGTTATGGAAAAATACAGAGACTATGTCAGAACAATCATCTATGTGTTTATGAAATTGCTAAGACCTAAATCAGGAGTCAAGACTGGAAAATATGAGAATGAGTGATAGTAGGTTAATAGTTTGTTATCGTGAAACTAAAGGAGGGAGGAGGGAGAAAGAATGACCTGAAAGAAGTTATGTGGTATAAAAAATATCTACTTCTAGGCCCAGCCTTCTTGAACTAAGGGAAAAAACAGAGCCCCCGGTTTGTAAACTACAGAAGAAACAGTAGATTCAAAGGAAAGCCAGTGTCAAGTGGCTGGACATAAAATTCAGATAAATCAGGGCATATAATATTGCTGATGATGGATCATGAACTCCTGTGGGTACAGAAGAGCTGTAGTAGTTAGACAGGGATATGAAACAGAACAGAAGAAGTAATGCAGAGTCTCATGGGACTGGATGGCAAGAGATAAGGTGAATTATCAGGGCTTCTTGCAACAACAAACACGAAATAAAGAGTTAATAAGATTAATTCTGGTGGACTCCGAAAAGACAGTAATCATCGTGAGTGTTGTGGGACTTGGTAGTTCAGGGTGTATGTGGCTCTTTTTTGAGACCTGTTGGGGAAGAGTGTGCTTGCTCCTAGTGCTGGAGTTCCCCTGACCTATGAAAGTAACGATGGAGTTGAGGCCAGCTCAATTTATTGTCAACCATTCAGGAAATTCATATGACACTCATATACATAGATGTCTGATCAGATGGTTCACAATTTTAAAAATTCCCCTGCTCTAGGGAAGAAGTAAGCTAATCTTTCATAGCAAAGTTTGGTTTTACTTACATCTGTGTTACAGGAACGATAGCGTTTCCTTTCCCCAAGGCAGTATTTTCCACCACCTGAAGGGCTGAAAAAATATTTTGTTTAACATGTGAATATATCTATCCATACCAAGAGTACATATATTATCTAATGAAGGCACATAAAAAAGTTACTTTAAGAAAATATAAAATGAGACATTTTAATAATTATTAAAATAATGCTGATAATTGCTATAATTATGATTGTTTAATAAAAGCATTAAGACAATTTACTATGAGTAGTCTTTAAGACTTAATTGTCATGATTTATATTCTTAAGAAACTTTTTGTGTATTTTTAATTAACATAGTACATAATTTAACACAATGAGCTTTAAAAACATTTATAATGAAAAGCCATTTTAAAAATAAAATCTGACACTAGATGCTTATCAGGAAGAAATGAAATGTTTGCTTTTCTTCCAGATGTGAAGCAAAGAGAGAATACTAAATAATTTTCTGGGAATAGCTCCAGTTCAATGTAAATAATGTAGAAATTAGTTTCCATCTCATTTCAAATATTTCATGAATTTAAAAAATTAAATTAAAAACTCAGGTGGCTTTGCATTATATAAATCTTTATATTGTATTCAAATTAATGAAAAAGCAAGATGTCAAATATTTGAGCTACACAAATTAATCTTTAAAGTATTTAACATTAGGGAAAGCCATATGCTACTACTTGGGCATAGCAGTATCGAAGGGAAAAGAACTAACTTCTTTTTAAAAGAGGTCCAGGTTATTCCCTTATATATATGGATATATTATTTATATATATATAAATAGAGTTTTATACTTTAGGTTTTTTGTTTTGTTTTTGTTTTTGTTTTCATACTGGGGATTCAACTCAGGACCGTCTGCTTACGAGGCAGGCATGGTGCCCCTGAGCTGAATCCCCAGCCTCCTACTTTGGGTTATTAATTTACAACAGCCTGAAGTTGCATTTAGATTAACTACTCTGCACTTGCTTAAAAAGGATCAAGCTGACTGGTATCAGTGAATAAATAAAGCTGTGTTTTGAATATACTTTGAATGCCAGTGAATGCTGACTCTAATGAAGGAAAGGAAATTGCTCAGTTTGAACAAGCTAGAGAGAAATGTGTTGGTAGTACAAAAACAAATGTATTGGTCATAGTGGTGGGGATAGTGAGAGTAATAAAGAGTTTAAAATGGGTTACAGGAACCTCTGTTTGCAGAAGGGTAAATTGATAGATAATTGATAGAAAGTGGGAGAAGGAAAACAGAACTAATTTATAGGGGAACAGTTTTGAGTGAAGGGAAAGAAAAGAAAAGAAACAAGACATCTGGAGAGAGAGAAACCAAAGAGAAAAGTCCTAATTAAAACAGGGACAAATAAAAAATAAAAACAGATATCTTTTATTCCAGAATGGGGAAAAGTAGACTTGTTGTCATAACATTATTCTGCACCAAATATTAGCTGGGAAAGAAGGCCCTGAAGTTCAGTTCTAGACAAAAATAGGCACCTGACATGCAGCAGTGTAGTCTCAGGGAGTACAAGAAAAAAGTACAGCTAAAGGAGCCGTCCACCTGTAATTGGCATTGGAGGGAGGGAAAAGCAATAGAGCTAGCAAAGAATACTGATGGGCTGGACTTTTGCCAGGGAGATTCTGGCTAGAGAAAAGAATAGTGAGAGAGGAGCAATCTGACCTGCACAAAACAATCTTGGGGAGAAAAGTGGTGGCAACTTTGGAAGATGATTAATGGGGGCATGTGAATGGAAACTATTTTAACACATGGGCAGTATTCTTTTCACTGTGATTTGTGATCCGAATCAAGGCATTTCAACCCTTGAAGTGCTCTCATTGGTCCTTTTAATACTAATGTAGCAGTAATAATTTTATGTGACATGTGAAAAGACCTTAGGTTTCCTGGGAATAATGATAATGTAGCATAAACCAGACCCAGATTCATCCATAATTCAGTAGTTTTTGGAGAAGGAAATCTATCTGATTATTACTAGATTAAAAATCTGGCTTACCAAGGGCAGAAACATAATGCTTTTCTATTTTTTTAATGTTTATTTTTAGTTACACAGTAAGGGGAAAGGAAGAAAGCCTGTCTAACAAAGCTCTTCCATTTTCTTGTGCCTATTGCTTGCTTGGAAGACAAGCATTTGGCTCACTGGAGAAACGTTTTTACAGATAACATGTGAAACCACAGCTTTGAATCATTTCCAACTGTGTCTTTTTGTTGGCTCTGGCTTACTTTAGCTACTTACGCTGGACTGTCACAGTGTCTTAGGGACGAGGAGACGCCTCCCCCGCAGGTCCTGCTGCACTCTCCCCATAGTGACCAGGGACCCCAGCCCCCATCTACGCTCTGGGGCCAAGTGCCAAAAGGAACACAATCTCCCTGATAACACCACTGCAAGATTTCACAGAAAACACAGAATTAGCTTTTAGGCAGATGGAGCCAACAGGATAGAAATACAAAAGGGTCAGGTAATGACCAATTTTAGGCATTAGCATTCTCAAAATAGATTAACAGTTCTTTAACTGTGTTTAGACACTGGTGAAGGTGCATGTGATTTGCAAATTATCTTCAGCTAGACCATGATTTATCGATCTTTAATATATACCACGAGCTCTAAAAAGCTTGATTTTTCCTTCTTTTTCCTCTGTTTCTTCTCCATACTTTTAATGTTTCTCATTATAGAGCAAGCTACAGGCTTCAAAGTCTCTTTAGATACTTTAGCATTTTCTTTAAAATTTTTCTTTATATCCACCCTGCTATTATTAGAATCATGGAATGATAACGCAATATGGAAAGTTCTTCAGTAAGGAATTTTTATGATGGTAATTGCTCTTTCTGTAAAAAAAAAAAAAAAAAAAAAACTGGTTGAGGCTACAATAGTAAAAGAATGTGTTGTGGCATTTCATCTACATGAGCACTGCAGACATAATAAAAGTAATGCCAAGACACTAGGGACTGGGTAATACACTGACTAGCCATGTGTATGGCCTCCGCGTGAGCATGTATACTGGAATTCTGCTCAGCTTTACTCTGGGCAGTAAACCACACATACTGCACCTAAGTAGAAAGCCAGGAATAATTTACTGAAATGCATAACATCGCATAATCAGCTCATAACTCTATCATGATAAATCTTAATTGCAGAATATGGCAAAACAAAAATCTTTTTAAAAGCCAAGCATTTGTAGGCTTTTAATCAAACATTGACAAGCCCAACTGATGTTATAAAAGTCTTGTTTATATGAATAATCATAGGGAATATCATTATTAGAGTTAAGGGTCAGCATGTTAGATATTAAATAAAAATTCAAACTTACATGACAGTATAATGAGATTATGACATGTGATGCTTAGAAAATTACCTATTCATTGTATTAATTCTATCACCAAGTTTGTTGAGCTTTCCTCCAAAATATATCTGGAATTCTTTTACTTTTCACCTTCTTCACAGCTACCACCCTAGAAAAACTGGCAAATGAAACAGCTTCTTACCTGGTCACTCTGCCTCTATTTTTTCTACCATAATTTATTTTACATAGAGCATTCAAATATAACTTTTAAAAACATATTATCACATCTTGTCACTTTTTTTTTTTTCATAAAAGACTTCGGTAGTTTCCTACTTTCCTAAACTCTGGCCAACAGCAGACATAGTGATCTAGCCTCTGTATCCTTCTTTGGCTTCAATTTCTTTGCACTGATTGCTCCAGACACATTGGCTTACTTTCTTTTTTCTTGATACACAAAGTTCCTCCCTCCTCAACAGAGCTGCATTTGGTGATTTCGTTGTCTAAACTGTTTTAGTGCTCTCTTACCATTTAATACTATTTTGTTACCCCATTTATCTTTTAAATTACTTCTTTGCTTCCCCTTCTTAGAATGTAAGAGCTTTGAGGCCCACATATGGCTATTTAAATTAATTAAAAGAAAACATTCATATATTCAAGTCTAGTAGCCACATTTCAAGGGTGCCATAGCTGAATGTGGATAGTGGATACTTTGTTGGACAGAGAAGATTCAGAGTATTTCTGTCATTAGAGTGTTTTACTTGGCATGAATAAGCATGCAATAAACATTTATTAAATAAATAAATACTTAGGCATATTATGGAATTCTGTATCATGTTTTCATTACTACGTGTCAGGAAAGAACTAGAGTATTAGAAAGTTAAGAAATTCAAATTCTTATTTGGTTCCCTGACTATGGGCATATAATTGGATCTTAGTGATTTGTTTTAGTAGTAACAACATAAAACTTAAAAAGAAAAAAAATGTTTTCCTGCTTCGGGGGATTGAACTCAGGACCTTGCACTCGACAGGCAGGTGTGGTGCCACTGAGCTACATCCCTGGCCAGCCCAAAACTCTTTTTTAAATATAGGTGCTTAGTAGTGATCATCTGTCTGTAAAAAGTTAAGTAAAAGAAAGTCAAAATTTGATTGGCTGTTAAGAAGAACACTCTGACTCCAATACTGATAAATAGTAAAATCAGTGGTACATGCCTATAATCCAAACACTGAGAGGCCGAGACAGGAGGATTATAAATCCCAGCCCAGACTATGCAATTTAGGGAATTAGCAAGACCATGACTCAAAAAAAAGAAAGATTAAATGATTGAAATTTGGACAATAAAAATTACCACGAAGAAAAAACAATTACACAGAATGATGAAGAGTCAGTCAGCTAACGCAATAATATACTAGCCACTCTGGGAGTAGGGCTGCTGATAGTGTATACTTGAGAGGAAAGAATGTTTCTCCTGCCACTTTTATGACTTACCCGGTTGGTGTAGAACATCAAATATTTTTTATAATGATATATCAATTACATTAGATATTTACCTATACAAAAGTCAGAACAATGGGCCAAATAATCCTCACTTTTGCAATTTGTTACTACAAGTAGCTGTGTGGAAGAATATTTATGCCTGCATCTATTTTTAAAGTAAATAACTGAGCAGTGGAGTCCTAGCCAGCTATTACTGATTTGCAATTAATAGAAACTGAACTAGAATCAGCTCAAATCATAAAATATGCCTACTTTTTAAGTTGGAGACTTAGCATTACTATCTTTGAGTAACATAAAAGCTTGATTTTACATTTATTTTATATAGACAAGAGTTAGATTTAAAGCTTAGGTGGATTTCAGGATTCATGTGGCCTAAACATTTCATTTTTTCAGATAAGGAAACAAGGACCTGAAAGAGATAAACTTGCCCAAAGTCACTTATTGGCAGGAAGGGATTATCTGCCTAAAAATACATAAAATCAGTGGGAAAAGGATCAACTGAAGCCATAGAATACTTGAAGACATTTAAGAATAATATACTGAATTATTTTTACTCCATATAATCCAAAAAAAACACTAGAAAGATCAAAAAGGAAAGAACACTCAGCTACACACCATGTGTTATTTCAGACTCCTTGAGTATACTAATGATTTGTAGAGAAAAGTTTCACATTTTTTATTTTCATGGGAAAAAGGAATTGTGAGCTCGCAAGGACACAGAACAAGATAATATTGCTATACATATTTCTAGGATGCTCACAAAATATAGGTGAGTAAGAGAAGTCACTGAAATAGCCATGTTTTCCTCTTAAAACTTATTTTTGAGCTAGGGAATATAGCTCAATGGTTGAGCAAGTGCCTAGTATGCACAAGGCCCTAGTTCAACACCCACACCAAAAAAAAATAAAAATAAATAAAGTTTACTCTTAAGGTAAAAGATAAATATACTACTTAGTTCTTTTTTAATATTACTCAGTTCTTGTTATTAATATTTACAGTCATAGTATTTCATAAACAGTCTGCAAGAACTTTTACTGCATACATTCATACCTTCTTTATATCTATCCATTGAAGTCATAACAAAATAATTTAAGCAAAAAGTTAAACAACAAAGATGAAAAGATAAAATGTGAATTGTACTACTATAAATATCAGTTATCTAGCAGTGCACAAGAAACTAGTCTCTAGTAATGATTTAACTTAATTAACTAGTTTACATGATAATGACTGTTCTATGTAGACAACTTAGATCACAAATCCTAGTTCTCATTCTAGTAATATTTTAGGATCCAAGACAAGGCACTTTCTTTTCATTTATTTACCTGACTATAAAATGGGAACAAATTTTAGCTCCTGATTCCATATTGATTTAGATTAGAACAACTTTAAAATTAGTTAAGTACAGACATACCTTCAAAGAAGTTAAAATATATCAAACAACTTGTTTGACTTTGATCTCTGGTAGGGGTGTGTGTGTGTGTGTGTGTGTGTGTGCCTGTGTGTGACTGTGTTCTGATTTTCCCTTTGTATTTATACAAAAGAATCTTTTTGGAATTCTTGCTACTTCCCTCTTTTGTTAGTAAATATAGTGATGCGGTGTTATGCTTTCTAAAAAGAAAGTTACTTAACTTTGTAAAGGTCAGACTTGGAGTGTCATATCATTTGTTTTTTAATATGAAGTTGCCAAACCTGCAAAATTTCTCTATATAAAGGGATAGAATCTTACTTCATTTTTTAAAACTAGTTTTACTAAATAGGCAAATGCAAACCAGATATTAATCAATACTCTCAAAAGTTATAACAAATCTAGTAATTTTGCACCTTTCCAAACTACACTTTTATTAGTTTAGTGTAAATTAAACAGATAAATGTGGCTTTCTTTTGATAATTCAGGTGTGTTTGGCCAGATTTACAAAGGTGAAAGAAATGAAATCATCACATTACAAGAATAAAATATCATGTTTTTATTCTTGATTTTCCATATTCCTTCTAAATTCAATGTTTTAAACTTTATCTAGAAAGATAGCATATGCCAATGAAGCTTTAAAAGGTTTCTTTAAAAAATGACACTATTCATTGCTAAACATCTCTTGCTACAGGATTACTAAATTTCATGGTCTACATCAGGGACTATCTTTAATAAGGGCATATTATAAATCAAACAATCTAGCTTGGGAGAGTTTGTCAGAATTTTGCAGGAAAATTTCAAGATGAGTATACACATTTTAAAATAATTTTCTTTCTTTTCAACTAGAACAATTTTAGGACATGGTGATACAACTTGTCATAGTCAGAACTGGGTCCAATCAATATCAGGAATGAGAGACCTCAAAGGAAATTCTAGGTTTTTTAAAGGAGGTCATATAGGTGATTCAATATAAAACATTCTCACAAGTCAGAAGTGTGGAGGGTTGAAGCACAGCACTATTAAAAGTGTTACCTTTCTACTATGCAGATGCAGGAATGCTCTAACTGCCTTTAAGCCCAAATTCTAAATCAGAAATTGTCATTCCATACTGCAGTATTTAAATTTTTAGAGCAATCAGAAGAGGTACTCTTTCTTCACTCCCTGTGTTTAGAGTTAAGGGTCTAATAATACATACATT